CTCTTGAATTCCAAGTATGCTTAGAAACCTAGTACTAGGTAAGCCAAAGTCTACCGTACTTTCATACAATTCAGAAGATTTACATTGCAAGATTTAGGTCCGTTTCTAATCACAAGGCAGCAGAGGCTGGTGGCAAGTGATACAAATAGGATCAAGACTTTTAAAAGTGTAAAATGAAAAACACTGCTCTTCTTCCAGAAATTTTTCAAAATGTGTTGCAAAGAGAATGCTCTCAAGTCCATGTTTAAGCAACTATGTACACAGTAAAATAAGAACTTTTCATATACTCATATGAAATGATAAAAAGAATCATCCTTTTACTAGTTTCCTGGGAAGGAAATGGAAACTGCCTGTGAAAAAAATCTAGCTGTATTTACTGAAAATAAGCTATGCTTCACATGACAGTTTGTTGAACGCTATTATATAAGAAACAAGCTTCATTACTACTGTTCAATGCACTCATTAAATACACAGGAATATTTGGGAATCTCCAGAGAAAAATTAGGGACCAGGGACAAAAAGAGGCCATTTATTTTCCTTCTCAGATACTATACATGCAAAGTTCTTTGATAACAGATTACACTGGGGAGGTGGGGGGGCAGAATCCATCAAAAGCAACATCATAAAGTTTTCCTTCAAAAGGACCCCAGAACTTTTGAAGCAGGTAAACAAACCCACTCCTTTCTCAATAAAACTTCAGTAAAATGATTTAAAAAAAAAAAAAACAAACCAAACAAAAAAACAAACCCCAAACCTACAAAAAGACTCTCAGTTTACCCCCCCCTTTATTTACACAGAATTACTGTCGTATACATTAAAGTGAATTAAAGAATTCTTCCATTTCTTATTCCATATTTGATGTGATTTAGCTGTCCAATATTAAAAATCATTTTACATTTTAAATAACTGAAAAATTACACAATTTGTATTTGATCTTGTTTACACTAAAACTTTATTACTCTCACGAAAAGTATCACAAATCTCGCAATAGGATGGCTATATTACTTTTAGGAAATCATGCTTACCTTTTCTGTTGATATGAACTGAGGCCTATAGTTGTCTCAGTCTGTAAAAGAAAAAATGGTTTTAAATTTAAGACACTGACAGCATCATACTTCCTGTGGGGAAAAAAACCCCAGCAACTCTAACAAGTTAGTAGATCAGATCTTGAAAGACAAAAGAAGAAGTTCCGATCTGGAGCAGAAAATGCAAATTGGCTTTTTCCAATCACTTAAAGAAATTAAGCCTCTACTGAAAGACTGTTTGACCCTGGCCAAGAACTGTAGTCAGTTCAAGTGGTAGGAACTCCTACAAACTGTAAGACAAGCAACAACTTAGGAAGGAACAGAGAGGAGGAAAAAAGTCCAGGAAATTATAACACTGTAGAGAGCAAAATAAAAACCTAGCATAGATGTAAGAAATCAATTAAAAAGAAAAGCATATAAAACAAGCAACAGACAAGCAATTACCTCACTGGTATAATTTAATGAACTAGAAAACAAAGAACGCTCTAATCTCCATTTGATTAGGCAACTTCATCTCCTTCCCTGCTAATGATCTTCTAGCCTCTATTATTCATACTTTTACTACCACTCCGCTGGACATTACAGTTAATTACCTGAAAACAAGGAGGTTAGGTTGTCTAGGAAATTCCAACTAGTTTACCCTTGTCTACGAAGTCCCAACTGGTTTAGAACGCTGCGTATGCAGTGTCCTCCTGATACAGCTAATGTTAAAACATATCTGACTTTGAAAACTTCTGTCTTCCCATAGGATTTGGGGATCAACTTGAGGATTTCAGTCCTTCTCTTAAAGGCATTTCATAACCAAGACAAATATTTATCTTCTGGGAGCAGGAAGAAAGCTTACAGGTCTGATAAAGTCTATGGTGCACCTTAGCTCATCTGACACAGTTCACCTCTAGTATAAGGATGTCGTTCGTTTGCAAGGGAAATAATTTTTCGTATCTCATTTCAGAACTAAAATCAAGTCCCTTGGCTGGACACTGCACTGATTTCTATTTCAACTACAAATTACACTTTCTTTCCTTGCTTTTCCTAAGATAAAAGTATTTTTTCTTAAAATATTTTTTAAAAAAAAATCTTTACTTAAAAATTCCTTTCATAAAAGAATCTGTATTTTATTTTGCTTTTTGGAGACAATTCTTTGAAATGTTACAATTACTAGTATTAAATCACTTAGTCCACAAACATTAATGTTTGATTCATGTCAAGAATCAATTCTGGACTGTAAATCTAAGTAATGTTTCAGATTTAAAATGAAATTATTTGGTTTATTGACCCTCCAATTTGTATCAAACTGAAGAAAGCTGGAAGTGTATTATTTACCATTGTAAAACAAAGCTAATCTGTTTGTAACTTCAGGATTTATTTGCAATTTTAAATGTCTAGGCAGAGCATCAATTAGCTTTTTTGTTTTAAAACCTCTGAAACAGAGAGGCAGACTGCCTTGCTAAAGGGATGTTGCAGGAGGAAGGGGTTCACATGAAATTACGCTTTGCAGTACAGCGTGATCAGTAGTTTTTCCTCACTGAACAGAATGCTGAGAGACAAAGCAGGTTGTTTTATATTGCCAATTTTATTATAATTTAAAAATCAGCAAGTTTAAATGAAAACTCAGCAAGTTTTCATTTAAACTTACATATTACACTTGTGCTGTAATTAGGAAAACAGGGCATTTCTTATTTTTCATTAAAATACACTGGCTTGCAAATGTTTCCATTAAGTTTTCGTAGCTAAGGTATACTACTCACATACTGGTAAGCTTTTACTTCAGCTTCTTAATTTCTTATGTCACCTTCCATTTTCTATTTCCAGTAAGATATAAGGAAATACGACCTGTTGTGAATTGTTTCAGAATAGTAATAGAAATTCAATTAAAATGAAGGAAGAAAAAATTTAAAACCAGTTTTAGTTAACTGATGAATGCTGATAATACAAAATGCTTTGTATGTAAAACTTCCCAGGAAGCACTGCCTAACAAGTTAATTGATTAGCTCCAAAATCTAAAGAATTTAATCAGAAAAAATAGACCTCTACCTTCCATACTTTATTTTTTCCTCAGATGGGAAAGGTAAGAGCAAACATCCCAGCTTTAAACTTCCACCCATTAATTTCTCAACTTAAAAAACAGATAGGAAACTGAATCAAAGCAAATCAGCTGAAAATATTTTCTCTCCATCCAAAAAGGACTTGTGCTGTCAAAAGCTGGTTTAATGTTTCATACAAGCACTTGTTCAAAACATTAAGCCAGTGATTTCCTCTAGTTCACAACAGCATGATTTTAAAAGCTCTACAGAAAATATGTATTGCTTGAGTATTTTAAAGATGGTTTTAATAAGCTTCAAACAGCTACTTATAATTACATATGCTTATTCTTATTATCTACTTTTCTATCATAGATCTGACAACCATGAATCACTGTCTGCCTTTCCAATCTTATTTTTCTTTTTTTTTTATTTTTTATTTTAAATCATGTAACTATTGCCTACAGCTTGCAGACGTGCACATTCTCTCTAAAAGCACATCAGACTACACCCGGCTCTGCAAGAGATGCTGCGCAGCCTACTCAGTAGAAACAGGCTCGTGCTTGCTTATAAGGACCAAACAGCCCAAGTTATTTGACTGCAGCTGAGGCACGCTGATCTTCACCACAGCCAGCTGCCACTGATCTAGGCTAACAGACAAATTGCTCAGTAAGCCTTAGCATTTATAAGCTTTCTGCACATCTCTGATGCATGCAGCAAGTGGTACGCTGCAAGTGCTGATGACGGGGAAGTTTTGGATATGAAGATCTATGCAATAGAATCAGTAAGGCATAGGTACCCAAAAATGACCCAAATCCATTTTGAGTGTTTTCTCTACTAACTGAAATCATCTGCTATTCCTCCCTACCAAGCAACTGCATGTATCCCTCTTTTTTACTACAGCACAGGCATTTAAAACCATTCTTCTCCCGATTTCACCAGTTCCATTCTTCCATGCTGTGCATTCACACCACTGACTTTCCTGCCTACTGGAGGGAGACAACCAAAAATTGCTGAGACGGCGTTCCTGTGAAATACTGTTACACAACTGGTTTGGGCTCAGATAGAGTTAAGTTTCTCCAGAGTAGCTATATGGGGCTATGTTTTGGATTTGTGCTGAAAACAGTGTTGGTAGTTCAGGGATGTTTTTGTTATTGCTGAGCAGTGCTCACTGGCCAGAAAAGGCCTCAAAGCCTTTTCTGCTCCTCACCCCACCCCACCAGCCAGCAGGCCCCAGCTGAGGGGGTGCACAAGAAGCTGGGAGGGGACACAGCTGGGACAGCTGACCCCAAAGGGATACCCCACACCATTTGATGTTATGCTTAGCACATAAAGCTGGGGGAAGAAGAAGGAAGGGGGGGATGTTCAGAGTGATGGTGTTTGTCTTCCCAAGTAACCATTACGCGTGATGGAGCCCTGCTTTCATGGAGACGGCTGAACACCTGCCTGCCGATGGGAAGTAGTGAATTGATTCCTTGCTTTGCTTTGCTTGCATGCGTGGCTTTTGCTTCATCTATTAAACTGTCTTTATCTCAGCCCACGAGTTTCCTCACTTTTACCCTTCTGATTCTCTCCCCATCCCATGGGGCAGCAGGGGGTGAGCGAGCGGCTGGGTGGGGCTGAGCTACCGGCTGGGGTTAAACCACAACAACCAGACTTACTCCGTAAAGTTAACAGATGTATAGACACCCTGTATTCCTTACCAATGTCCTTGAAAGTGCATTATTCACTACAATTAAATACCACCTTCCTTTCAGTAATTGATTTTTCTTTAGAAATGTAGCTAAAGCACATAAAGACAGTCAGATGATGGAGCTAACAGGTTCAGATCCTATGACAGGGGATCCAAAATAGTCATTACCAACACTGTCCCATCCTTGACAACTAGCTTTGGCTCTGAACAAGAGAGCATGTTCTATTAAGTTTTAAACTATTTGGTAGAGAAAGTTGTCTGTTAGCTACGCTCTTAAACATCATAACTGACAATCAGTACCCCTAATATTAGTCTAAGACCCCAACCCACCCAGGCCAACTTTTAGACAGAGGGCAGTGGAGATCAAACTTAACTCCAGAAAAATACAGAAACAAATGGAAATACACGTCATTGACAATAGCTGAACTACTACATAGCCATGGCTGTAGTTAACTGTTTGGAGTTAAATTCTCTGACTGATCATCATTCAAGCTTTCCTTCCTATGTTCTGAAATTACAGACTGCTATGAAAACATTAGTCTAATACCTGTACATAAAGTTTAAAATCGCAAATCACTTTGCTAGGAGATCACACACCTGAAATATATTTCAGAGCAAAAATCCATCGAAGGTTCACACTTATAAGGAAAAGCCTGGGTTTTGCTTTCAGATGTTTGTTAAATACAAGCAAAAGGACCAATTCATTTCAATGACATTTTTTGTGTTTTGAGCAGGGGGTTGTTTACTTTTTGGTTTGTTTGGGGGGTTTTGTGGGTACTTTGTTGTGTGGGTTTTGTCTGGGGTTTTTTAGGGTTGTTTTTTTAAAAAAAAAATCAGGGTCAATCAAGAGCAAAGAAATAGCATACCAACTTCAGTAGCTCATCAACCATAGCATCATGGAACTAAACCAAAAATAAATCTCATGTGGCAGTTTCTATAATTACCACTCATTTTTATTACATGTCAATCTTCAAAGTCGTGCAGTAAACAAAAACATACAAATGTGTTCAGTTACATGTTCTAAATATTTTTTTTTTTTTTAATTTGATCTTCAAGTAAAATTGTGGACCTACTTTGCTGCAGCCTGGCATGCTATTTTTCCTGTGTGACTGGACAAAACTAATCGAATGTAAATGCCAAGAACTAAAACCATGTACCTAAAACCACATACCAGATCAATCTACTATTTAAAGTGTAGGTTTTACCTGATAAACTGGCAGTATTCAACAAAGAGAAACAAAATTACGCTCTTTAATAAATACAGTTTATTCTTTTCTCCTGTAAAGGATACATCTCTAATAGAGCAGCATTAGCAAAATATGACTTACAGGAAAATTTTATTAAATCTTATCTGTACAGGAGAAGTATTACAAATAACA